ACGATGGATAGTGACTCACGCTGCTATCTGGTGTTCACGAGGTGTGGGTCGCCCTGGAAACGCAGCGTCTTTGTACGTTCGTGACCCTCGTGATTGCTTTGCGTGTAGAACTAAAATCAAAAAATTAATGGTGCTCTTCAAGCACAATCATCCTCGGCCTACTCGAGCTCAACTGATGAGGTTGATTCTCTGGCGCACTGTGTAATGAGCAGACAGTGGTGCTCTCTTGGAGGTTTTGAAGTGGAAACGTATCGTTGTATCGAAATACGCCTGCTTCCCACTCAAATTTCAGCAGCTCCCACTGGAAACAGAAATCGCTTGCACTAGACGTGGTTAGCGATTCGTAGCTACCAACTCGTTGTCAGACATAGACGGCCAGTTGAGTAGGGTAGCAGCATCCTTACATAAATGTAGAAACGCACATACCAATGATATTCTGAGAATTCAATGGAACAAACTTTCAGTGGAAACAACTGGACAGTTAGTCATTGAATTCCAGTGGCATACATGTAGGGTTGCGCCTTGCACAATTTCTTAGCCCAGTGCAGTGTTCGCAGATCTAGACCTAGGGCTGTACAAAGCCCGTCGCATACTGTAACTTGCGTGACGTGAGTGGATTTCATTCAGCAGCAGCAGCACTGTAAATTAGTTACTACTGTAGCATACTGGTTGCACATGTACATTATTCTACTGTCTACTGTCTTTAGTAGGTAAGGGCACACAAGTAACTAGTTTCTACACCAAGTCTCCCAAGACCAGTCCAGTCCCTCAGTCTCAGGTTACTGATCCGGTGACAATTCTCAGCGAATATTACGGAGCGCTCCGTCATTGGCAAGTCCAATAATATTGTCGGTTCGATTATGCGCGTGTCAAAACGAAAAAGTGGAAAAATCGAATGAAAAAACGGTTCTATAATAGCTATAAAGAGAACAAATTCTGCTGTCATCGCCACACTACAAAAAAGTCATGAAGGTTTACCAAAATCGATTTCCTTGTCACAATCATCAGTGGAAAGCCATGACTGAAGAATAACCATACTAAATCAAAAAACGGTTCAGCATTCATTAGCATTTTTGACTCCGCCACTCGAGTTCCTTTCGAGCCTGAGAAATAAACATTTTGAGATGCACAATGGCTGTGGTTGTTGCATTATAGCAAGAGTACATGCCAGTAACTCTTGATTATAGTAGCAAAGCAAGTCGATTTGTTGGACTCGCTTCTCCTCATTACTGAAGGTCACCTGGGCCGAACAGAGTTGCTGCTAACCAATATTGGGGAAAATGAGCGGCGATGGTGCTGTGTGCAGCTTCTGTTGAATTTTATTGTGGGTGGCTGTCAGGTTTCTCAAAAGGGTTTTTTTTATTTTTATTTTTTTTTACTAGAGCCACGTAAAACCGAGTGGTGGCGTGGTCTGGGATGCTTTGCCGACCTTGGGTCTCGGCTTCATCACAACCAGGCGCGCCAATAGCAGAGAAAGAAAGAGAGGGAGAGAGAGAGACATAGAGAGAAAGAGAGAGAGAGAGAGAGAAAGAGTGAGAGAGATAGATAGATAGATAGATAGAGAGAGAGAGAGAGAGAAAGAGAGAGAGAGAGAGAGAGAAAAGAGAGAGAGAGAGAGATAGAGAGAAAGAGAGAAAGAGAGAGAGACAGTGAGAGACAGAGAGAGAGAGACAGAGAGAGAGAGAGAGATAGAGCGAGAGAGCGAGCGGGGAGGGTTGGGGAGCAAGATAACTAAATAAGAGAACTAAATAAGGTATACAAAATGAGAGAGAGAGAGATAGAGAGGGAAAGAGAGAGAGAGCGAGCGCGAAGGGTTTGGGGGCAAGAGAGGGGGAGAGAACTAAATAAAGTATAATTATATAATGCGTAAGGAGTGCACATTCAGATCCAGAGAAAAGAGTAAGCAGGGCACGAGGCGTATGGCAATATGCAGCAGTGTGTGGGCAGATGTGCATACATCTTACAAAGACTTAGTGTTAGTGGCCCAGTGCCATTGCTGGGCACGGAGGTGCCGAAAGACAGACACTTTGAAACTTTTCAGCCGTTTCCGATCAGGTGGCTGGCTGAGGACGGCGGGTGGCAGGGCATTCCATACAGGGACAGCACAGGCGGGGAAAGCTCTACGGCAACTTTCTCGGCTATTGACAGGTAGCCCTGTCTCAAGTTGGTAGTTATGCATGTCGAGACGGACGAGAAAAAGACGAGTGCGTGATAGTTTAATTGTGGGGAGAAAGTCCTACTTGTCCTACGCAGTAGGATGCGTTGTTTGCGTAACCACCATTATCAACTAGACACACGTAACGTCAGCACCAATCATGCAGTCCCACGTGTACATGTATAAAGGAAGATGATGTTGAAATCCAAGTTCACTTTTCGCCAGGTTGAGAAGTGATCAGAGTGTTCATCGTGCAGTTACTAAAGCCAAATAAATGAGTGGAAGATTACAAAGAAAAACGATTAACGGAAGTGAGCAGGTATTCGAGAATGTTCTTCGATAATAATCATTGCGTCTAGTTCGGTTGTGATAGTATATCTTTAAACTGACCAATAGAAGAACAAGTTTACCTTGCCTTGCATACACCTGCCAGCGCCTGGCCACACAGCTCTCGAAGGGAAAGGACATGGCATTTGTGACGAGACTTGTCTACTGGGTGTTCGAAACGCAGCGCACAAGTCACACACTTAACCGTCAGTTCTCCACGCTGCGACATCCGGCGGCGCACACCTTGTCGACAATTGGGGAATCTAAAACCCACCACCGACCTGAAACACGGATCGCACTGGCCCGCAAAGCAGCCAGGTGCTCTGGCTTGGCCCTCCAGCAGGGCCGGTTTCGCCCTTGTCGTCTTGCCTTCTCCAGTGCTGCCATCAACAAAACATTCCCTTCCGGAAACTCTGGGTGAACCAGTTCTCTGTGTTGTGTTTACACCGTGCTCTGCTTTCATATGGCATTCGGTGTTCGTATCAACCACTAAGTTCCTGGTAGGTGCCCCTTACTGGCCTTAGGATGTGGCTCTGGGTTCACTACTACATGCACATCACTGTCAGCAAGTATAGACATAGCAAAATCAGAGGCACTGGTCTTCTCCATTGTTGCAATTGCTATCACACGCTTGCAATTGGTGTAGCACTTTCCATGATACCAGCAACACCATTTACTCCTCCCTTAGGCCTTGTGCTGGCAGAGAAAAGCCCAGGCATGGTCATGCTTTTCTCGAGCAGCGCTGACGCTGCGACACCAACTTGTAGTCTCGATATTACTCACTGCAGGCTTCTCGTTTCTACTAAATTGGGAGCTGTGACACAGACACAAAATTCCAGCAATATTACTGCGCTGGGCTGTCATTTGCCATTTCGTTGCCGTCAGCTGCCTCATCCGGCACCTTGCTGCCACTAGAAACGTCTGCCTTCTCTTCCATTGTTGTCAAACAACATCAATGTACACGAAAGGAATAAACTTCAATAAAGTGATCACAATATCCCAAGTCCATATTATCGTCAACGTCGTCATCTTCTAAAAAATAAAACTGGGCGACTGTGCCCTACTAGATGGGGATTTGTATGCAAAATGTCACTAAAAGCACCATTTCGTTCTTATAAAAGCACGGATGACCGCGATTGGCCCATATTTTGTAGTCTTTTGGACGCTGAGTCGACTGGTTTTGGTCCGAAAAGGCTGCGATGCAGCGTTCCTCCTTTCTTTCCAATCGAACATGGTTGAACAAGCGGTCACGTGCTCCTGCGTACACCAATCACCTGGTCACCGTGCCTGCAGGGTACAACTTACTAGCCTGCTTGACCTTTTTTGGGCGCACTCCTGTCACTAGAGTTGAACCTTGGTGTGAAAGTTGTCGCCTGCTGGTGTGGTGACCAGGTGATTTGGGCACCCAGGAGCACGTGACCACTTGTTCAACCATGTTTGATTGGGAATAAACGAGGAACGCTGCATCGCAGCCTTTTAGGACCAAAACCAGTCGACTCAGCGTCCCAAAGACTACAACATAAGGGGCAATCGCGGTCATCCGTGCTTTTATAAGAACGAAATGGCGCTTTTAGTGAAATTTTGCATACAAATCCCCATCTAGTAGGGCGCAGTCACCCAGTTTCGGTGGAAGTGCGCGAGTTCGATTGGGATTCAAGTAGGAAGGGAGCGTCTCAGCTGTCTCGGACCAAGACCATTCGACTCAGCACCCCGAAGACTACAACTGGTGAAATTTTAATTTTTGCCTTAACTTCCCCTTTAAGTTAAGACCAAAACCTGATTGTCAATGTTTTTGAAACGGACTGTAGCCTACTTTGTAGTCTTACTCAAACCGTGAATTTTTTCTTTGATTCCAATTTCGCCCTGGGTACCGCATATTTGCAGCTAGACTGTAAAGGGGTTCCGCACTACTTACATGTACATCTCCCTTATATCATACATAGAACGCTCCTTCTATGTAACAGTTGCTCTAACAAGAACACAAGTCATTGGAAAGCACAGTTCCCTAAAACCATACCAGTAGGTCAAAGCGTACTCACGATGAAATGTCAGAGTGAACAATATGAGTTAAAGAGGAAAAAACTAGTCGCACCACCGAACTACATGCACCTGACCACGGGTAGGTGATATAATTGAAATAAATAAATATATTTAAATAAACTAAAACAACATGATTGTGCACCATGATCTGTGTGATTCAAATGCGCTCATTACAGGGTGTTGTTTACAAGCAACTCCGCTTGCGCAAGCTCTATCAGCTCACGCCCAAGTGACAAGCGCAACTCTGATGGAGGGAATTGTTCTGATTTGCTCGCTCGATTTTCCAAATTTTATGAACAATCAAACAGTTTTCATGTACCATGAATAATGGAATGTTTGTGGGCACATGCATCAGTGTGTGTGTGTGTGTGTGTGTGTGTGTGTGTGTGCGTGCGCGTGTGTGTGTGTGCGTGTGCATGCGTGTGTGTGTGTGTGTGTGTCTGTGTGGTGTGTGTGTGTGTGTGTGTGTGTGTGTGTGTGTGTGTGCTGCGTGTGCGTGCACCCGTGCTCATAATTACGAGCGTATGTGTTGATATGACAGCATATTGGTGGTAATTCAGATAAGCTCGGTGACGCTGGGTTGGCTTTCTGAATGCCATGTCTATTTATATGATGATAAATATGCAATTCTGGATGCCATGCCTATATTTACATGATGATCAATACGAAGTTAAATATCATAGGTAGACATTGGCAGCTATGCTTGGCTACATGCCTCATTGATTGTTCTACGTATTTCCTCACCATGTGCTAATGCCTGCTGATAGCACTGACGCAAGATTGACTGGTTGATTGACTTTCCACCTTGCTTTGTGATAGCACAGAGTCTCTCTTGATCTATTGCAACCATATTGACGGGACCTGAGGCTATTCTCTCCTCTTCACGACATGGTGAGCGCGCCATCTTATCACTCACCACAGCAAAGAATACAGCCGTTGGTATACACTTCAATCTGACAGGCTGGGATAAATCTGACGAGCGGACGACGCGCTGCGTTTCCTCTGATATCTCAACGCTTGGCAAGCGTAGATTCCTTAAAGCTGTTACCAAAGCAGCTAAACATGCCTGCTGAAGACTGCCATCGTAATTCAGACATGTTATGTCCTCATACAATACCCAACATAGCTTGCCAGGTGAGATGCACAACTGTTTCACGTCCAGCAATTCGCATTCAGTCCAGACATCATGTAACCACTGACTCAGGGATTGAGCCTCTTCACTAGGGGGTCCAGTACGGAACGATGATGAACACATTGGTGATAAATTCACATTCGACACGAGATAACCTTCATCAGGCCGACATACTGCAGGAGTTGTCAATTCTGCTTTAATTCCACACAAGACACATGTGCCACCTAAGCGAACCTGAGAAGATCCGTCCGCGGTGCCCACGGGACCTACAGTTACAAGGAACGGCTGAGCATCGGCCATAGTGTCTTCAGCAAGCAACGTTCTAACTGCACCATACAAATGACAACAAACAATGAACAATGAACCATGCAAGCTGATGTGCTAAAACATTAGCACGGCTACCGTACTGATATGAGCCAGATGAAGAGCTAGAGCTCAGCGGACAGGATCAAGTAGGATAGGTGACGAAGGAACACGTCGTTTTTTTCTCTGATCATGAGAGGTTCGGCTACAACTACTTACAAGTAACGACTAGACCTATGCGTAGGTTTACGTAACGAAAGTTTGTAGTCCATGTACTTTGCATCCCTGCTGATGGCTTGGCGCGTAGATTTCTATTATACTAAGATACTACGTGGTGCTCTTCAAACACAATCATCGTCAGCCTAAGCAAGCTCAACTAAAGAGGGTTATTCTAAGGGCCCGGTGTAATAAGCAGACAGTGGTTCTGTGTTGCAGGTTTGCCGAGTGGAAAGGTCACTTTTTATCGAAACACACTGTCATGCCTCCCACTCAAATTGAAGCAGCTGCCCCTAGCAACACATAGCGTTTGGACTTGGCGTGCTTCACGATTCGTGGCTTCCTACTCGTTGTCAGGCATGGACGGCCTTCTGAGTGGCGTGGGGCGTCCTTACATATTCAAACGCCCATACCGACATGTATCATAATTTTGAAAACGAAAATGTAAGTGAAAAACCACTCAGGTGAAATAACTGGACATATGGAAGCAACCAACGTCATACTGAGAATTATCGTTGGGGTCGCTAGTGTAACAGGTAGCCGAGTGGTAGGCGCGGTGTAATCAACAAGAGTTAGTTTTATTCTTCTCTTCTCTCAGGTACACACCTGGGATATAATTATTATTAGTCAAAGAAGAAGCGGCAAATAAATAACTTTCTCTCCGGTGCACACCTAGAGGTTCACTACTACTTCTTCTAGTTAACTTCGTCGTTGCTATCTAATCTTATCTTCAGCAAAACAGAAATGCGCAGCCGCTTTTATGCAGCAGACGCCGTACGCTTACATACGGAGATACACTAAATATACATCAGGCAAAGCTCCGTATTAGTTCCGTACTACTTCCGTATTGGTCGGGCAGGGATACTACACCCTCCCTTCTTACAGATAATCACGCCCTCGTGATTTTCAAAAAAATAGTGAAGAGTTATGAACACAGCGTCAACCGGAAGATGGCAAATTTGGTCGGGTATTGGTCGGGCAGGGATACTACACTAGCACGTTTTCGCAGTACTATTGCGCCCAGCCCAGGTTTGGGAGTAGTTGGTTTGAAGATACAGTGACAGCCTTGCATGACTGAGGGTCCTCAAATCCACGACCTAGGCCAGGGTACATACCCACGAGCGACACTGACTCACGCTGCTATCTGGTGTTCATGAGGTGTGTGTCGCCCTGGAAACGCAGCGTCTTTGTAAGTTTGTATCCTTGGTGATGGCTTGGCGTGTAGAGCACTAAGAAAAAGAAGCGGGGCTCTTCAAGTACAGTAATCCTCGGTCTACTCCAGCTGAACTGATGAAGAGTGATGTCCCAGCACATAGTCATTGCTCAATGAGCAGAGAGTGGTGCTCTCCTGCAGGTTTGACGAGTGGAAACGTAACCTTTTCAACTGAAATGATATACTTGCTTCCCACACAAATTGAAATACATGATTGTAGTTCCCACAGGAAATCGCTTGGACTTGATGTGATTTGTGATTCGTACGAACCTATTTATTGTGAGACATGGACGGCCTCTTGAGTGGCGTGGCAGCATCCTTACATTTTAAGAATTTATCCCTACATATACTACATAAATGCGTGGGCAAATCCACGCCTCTACCAACCGACTAGTGGTTGCAGTCAGGAGCATTGTTTTCTCACTCCATGCTTCTACCGCCTTGTAACATCTAGAGGAAAGACCGAGCACTCAGACCAAGTACTTCTATGACCTCACAACCCAAAAATCAACAGACCATGCCTGCCTAAAGATACTTATTGTACTGAGCCATACGCAAAGCGAACACGTGGCTATCCAACAAATTTCGTTCATTTGGATATGACGTCATCGCGCCTGGGGGAGAAAGTAGTACTTGTCCTACGCAGCAGGATGAGTGGTGTGCGCAACCAACATTATCAGCTAGACGCACGTAAAGCATTAGTCATGCCGTCCCACGTGTACATGTACATGTATTATGTATAAAGGTAGATGATGTTGAAATCCAAGTTCACTTTTCGCCAGGTTGAGAAGCGATCAGAGTGTCCATCGTGCAGTTAATTACTGTTCCTGTGTGCTTTAGTCAATATGGCTGAATTTGAAGAGAAAGAGTGCTGTGATACTAAACGTAGTCAGTGTGTTGCTGTTGTCTCCACTTCTTCTGAAACCAATGTCAAAGCCTCCAGTGACTCTCCCCACATTGATCAGGAGGAAAAAGCTGTGTGTATTTTGGCAGAGTCTAGAGACAGGTTTGGGATAGTGTTCGATACAATCGTCAGTGAGTTGTCAGACAGAAGTTTCCTCAATCTCGCCCTAACCGAGCGCAAGATGTTTGACAATTTGCAACATGCCCTGAGGAAGCGGCAAACGCGAATGTTTATGACCCCAAGGCAAGACAAAACGTTTATTCAGACATTAACAATCTCCAGCCACCGTGAGCAGTTCTACAAGGCAATGTATCATCTAGCACGAGGAGGGCCCATTTGCTTCACTGGCTGTTGCACTCCATCGCTTACCGTGGATGAAGAATCACTTCGACTCATTAGAAGGTACAAAACGATTTTACGGCTTGGAGACCGGGTGAATTGCACTGTACGATTGCTATATTCATTTAACCTTACAGTTGGTTCGAATCTACAAGTCGTCAAATCCAAGACATGTAAAGAACATCCTTTACAGCTTATTTGTGAACCCTTGGACCAGGCCCTTTATGGTATGATAACGGGATTCATGCCAATCTGAACGCCTCAGTAGAGCAACACTGTCCAATTGGGCACCATTGCTTTCCTCTGGGAAACTGCTTAGCTGCAGCTTTTGGATGACTGACCCGTGATATTAGCAGAATTTAATATAACTCCTCTTTTCTCCCTCTTTGCCTGTGCTCCCTGTTGCGATACTAGATTTATTGTCTCCAGGCTGATTATTCATTTTATTGAACTACTTCTTTTATCAGTTTCTTGCTGCAGTAGACGTATCTCTCTTCACGTTGGATACTTTTTTGTGTTTCTTCGCCATTATTGTTTATGATTTACTAAGGCAGAAAGAGGTACTGGTTTATCATCTTTGTAACAACTACACATTGTAGTTCCTTGGAAGTTTTCAATCATGCTGATATTACCTAACCTACATGTATGTGCGTCATTTCACATTTACATGTGACTGTACATGTAGCTGCACGTACAGCTTGCAAGTTACGCCAACAACATGAACCTGCTATCATTCATTTTTTACCTCCTTATCATTCATTTTTTATAACAAAGTTTCCCTCAAATGTTGTACATGTACATTCTATGCTGGTATAAACAGAATATTGCTAGTACTCCTACCGTTGATGAAACTTCGAATGATTAAAGTCCCTTGCAAACGTTCCTTTCCGAAAATCAAATTGTCTGTACAGCCGCTGCTACATGTATGTAGTGTGAAAATAATGTAAGAGTTTCTTTCATTCCTTTCTCTTCGCTTTCTGAAGTGAGCGAGCCTAGCATTCACAGTTTTAGTATGCATGTTTACATAATTATCAAAATGTTACGTGTTATGTTCACTGACAGACATGCCTCTCAAATACGTCACCATTCTACAGCGACTAGCCTGAATATTTTGCAATTCAAGCATACTCACACTGCACTTGCATTTGTACATGTTAGCAGATAACTATTAAATGTTGTTTCTGGTAGTGAGTTGGGTCAAATCAGGAACGATACAAGTAGAACTTGTGTACATGTTCCATGCATACACTGTACATGTAACTATAAATTTTTACCAATGCCATCCAGTGAGTAGCATTGTACTGTGTACTCTAGCTGCGAGTGTGGAGCAGATCACTACACGTGTACGCACAAGTGTCCTTTGCACGTTGAAAGAACCACTCCGTGTTTCGTTTACATGAATACACGTGTGTATGGAGCTCCACGTACATAATCGCAGTAGTGACTAGAAACCTTTTGATCTCGTGTCAAGCTCTCTGCCTGAGTGCCAGTGTTGGTGACACGTACATCATACATGTTCAATGACTATGTACGTCGTCCAGGCCCGAGGTCACAGTTCCGAGTTCCAGCAGAACAAACAAAGTAACGAGCATTATTCGCCACGCCCTACGTAGTCGTTGAACCCTATTCATGGGGTCCATACTAGAGCTAAAGGTTTTGCCGCGATCTGATCCTTGACTTCCTGACGCTTTTCCACCTAGAGCACACTGAAGTCCATGCAACCTACCATTCGGCAAACCTGTGAAAGCTTCACATTCAAGTGTCAAGTCAGGTCGTCGGGAAAAGCGTGAGCTCCATGGTTGCTGCAACCAACCTCATTCTAAAAATTATCGTCGGGGTCGCTACCACTATTCCGTAGTACTGTCGTGCCAGGGTCTAGGCCAGCGTTCTACATACCCACGATGGATAGTGACTCACGCTGATACCAATGATATTCTGAGAATTCAATGGAACAAACTTTCAGTGGAAACAACTGGACAGTTAGTCATTGAATTCCAGTGGCATACATGTAGGGTTGCGCCTTGCACAATTTCTTAGCCCAGTGCACTGTTCGCAGATCTAGACCTAGGGCTGTACAAAGCCCGTCGCATACTGTAACTTGCGTGACGTGAGTGGATTTCATTCAGCAGCAGCAGCAGCACTGTAAATTAGTTACTACCGTAGCACACTGTATGTACATGTACATTATTGTACTGTCTACTGTCTTTAGTAGGTAAGGGCACACACGTAACTATTACGTAGTTTCTACACCAAGTCTCCCAAGACCAGTCCAGTCCCACAGCACCAGGTTACTGACCCGGTGACAGTTCTCAGCGAATATAACGG